CTCCACTATCGAATAGAATGCATGCATAGGAGTCATCGAGGAGGAACGTACCAGTCACTACTGTCGGGTCAGCTACTGCCTCTCTGTGGCCTATCGCTAGTACCCTCCCTGTTCCGCCGGCATTTTTCGTCTTGGGGCAGTCCCTTTTATAGTGGCCTGCTTCGCCACATCCATAGCATGTCGGGCTCGCGCCAGAGCCGGGGACTTGGGCGATCGGTCTCGCCTGAGATTTACAGAAACGGACTGTGTGTCCTCTCCTGTGGCAGTTAGAGCACTGCATTTCCTGGCAGGGGCCATTGTGGTGGTAGTTGCATTTGTTGCACTTGGGTGATCTTCCAGCATACCCACCCACCGGAGTAGTTGTAGCAGTAGGGGTTATTGCGGCATGTATCGCCACAATTTGCTGCTTCCTGGCCGCCTGTTGCTTCTTCTTTTCATCCCAGTATTTTCGTTTCGTATCAGCGGGTTTGGAGAGTTCCGGGATGGCTAGGGTGGTTGTGATTTCGGGGGTTTTGACTCCATGGTCAATGAGTCGTTGTGCCAACCGTTTGGCACTGTCGAAGGTAGCGGGGTTTGATGCTAGGACATTCCCCTGATACGGAGGTACAAGCCCCCATATGTACCTTTCGATCTTTTTCCCTTCAGTGGGAACCATGTTGGGGCAGAGGGCCACCAGTTCGCTGAATCTGGCGGTGTAAGCAACAATATTGGTGCCCTTCATGGTCAGGCTCCACAGTTCCTGCTCTAGTTTCTGGATCTCGCCCCTCGGGCAATATTCCTCAATCATGAGGTCTTTCATCGTTTCCCAGCCTATGTCGTTGGCTACGACAAGAGTTAGAGATTTAACGTGGCCGTTCCACCACGTTAGGGCCTTTCCTTCAAAAGTGCATGCGGCGTATTTCACTTTGCTCGCAGCAGGGCATGAACATATTTCGAAGACCGCTTCAGTCTTCTCGAACCATTGCGAGAGAGCAATGACTCCGCCGGTCCCATGAAAGGACTTCGGCTTGCAGTTGGTGAAATCCTTGTAAGAGCACTCTCTCGAGCGCACAAGGGTTTCAACCGGAATTGATTCCACAGGGGTTCCACCTCTACTGGCATCAGAAGAGTGATACTGAGCCATGGCAGTTGCCACTGCTGCAGCTACGGCAGCATTTAGGGCTGCAGTATCGATGACCGGAGGCGGTGGAGGTGGTGGTGCAGGATTATTCCTGGGAGATTTGCGAGGAGGCATCCTTCAGCTATAAGTTTATAAAGGTAAGAAAATGGTAAGAATCAATTTGTAAGCAACGTGAGAGTGATACATGGACTAAATAACCATAGCCCAACAGTTGTATGAGTGTTTGAAATCACAACAAAATAGTAGTAGGAAAACACAAGTGTATAGATTTTTCCCACAATTTAGATAGATTTCAATAATACTGGTATTACTGATGTAATGAGTTTGATGAAAATTGACCTAATAGTAGGTCTTACATCATACCACATAGAAAAGTTTGACAGTTCTTAGATTCCTAATTAGAGTACTGAGAGTTAGGAATATTTTACATACAAGTGCTACTTAGAGCATATATGTTAAAGGCAAATCTTTAACCCAAAAGATAATGATGTACTAGCATCATCTAACGGCGACGAATATTCCTTAGGAGAACCCTAAGGTCTCTCATTTGACGGTCCATCTCTTGAAGGTGTTGCTCATGAGCACTTTGGCGAGTTCGGAGTTCCATGACTTCAGCTTGAGAGGCAACCAGATGTTGCTGTAGGGTTCCATTGGTTCTCCGGGTCCGTTCCATGTCTTCTTCAAGACGGCGGATGCGGACTGTGTTGACACCTGAGTTGGCATCAATTTCCATGACCCGGTCGATGGATGCTCTACCTTGCTCGACATTACGAGCTATCCTGCGGATAATGACAGGCAGGGCTCGGTCAGCAGAGCCACCATTGCTGACGTTGTGAAAGCTTCGGTCCCCAAAGTATGGTAAGGGTTGACCCTGTTCTTCACTCCAACGGTTCAAGTGGTTTGCCCATAGGGGAGTAGGATCTGGAAAAGCTGGTCGAGGGTTGTTGTTCGGGGGTTGACCTACGAGTGGTAGGTTGTTGACTTCAGGCTCAGAGTCTGATCTATCTGAGAAGCCTTCAGCTTGATGATCATCCAACGGAATTTGGTGTTCATCGTCAGACTCTGCTTCGAGCCTTCCTATGTTGCCTTCATTTGGAAAGTACGGGTCGTCGTGACGAAATCCAGCCATTTAAATTTACGTGAGAAGAAAAAGGTATAAAGATATAGTATGTATGTAGTTAATAGCACAAAATACGCCTATAGTATTTTAAGTTTAAGTTCCACTGATCTTTTGTGGCATTGTTGGTAAGTTTTTAGACTTGTTAACACATCACAACTATTCTAGGGCATATGCTAATCACTCCTCGGACCAGCATAGTTGATCAGGCTATGCCATTCCCAGGACTGACCATACATCCCCTAGCTTACCTGTGATATTTAACAATCGTAATACTTTTGTTTTTGTCGTTGTGACACCGGTTTTAGCATGAATGCAGACTAGTATACTTAATTTACTATTTAAAGTATAAACTCCTGGTCAGAGTGTTTTAATCCCAAATGGGTTTATAGTTTAGTATATCTTTTATGGGTTGATATACTTGCTTCACTATAAACAATGCTCTGATACCAATCTGTCACACCCCAAAACCAAGAATGGCGGAAACATTCTGGGGCGGAGGACGTCATGTGTAGTATCACAACACAGTAATTGTAAATAAGCAAACAACATCATCCATTGCATTAAATATAAACATTTTAATACAAGTGTGTTCCGTACAGTTTTAGACACCAAAAATATAATGTATATCAAAATAGTATGATGAGACTTGAATGCGCTCCATCTTCTCAAAAGCTAGCATCGGTACCTGTCTACTGATGACCTGAGAATACAAGTTATTTTGAAAGAGTTTGTCAGCATTAAGCTGGTGAGTTCATAAGTATTTTAGTGTCGAGGTTCGTTTATCAAAAACGTTTTGAACCTGTTGCAAGTATGAGTTGTAAATGTATGTAAGTGTTTGTAAACGTTTGAATCTCTCAGAAAAACCTATATTTTCTGTTTAAAGTATAAAAGTAGCCCTTTACCAAGGCTTAACAGTTTGTATGCTCGTTTGATGTAAAAGTGTGAAATTTCCCAAGTGTAACTATCATTTAACAAAATATAGTTTGTACATTTAAGTTTAGGTGAGGCTATCACCAAAATGTAATGGGTAAATTATTGTAGTACGGTAGTTTCGTTTTATATGAACTACTGTGGTACTAACTACCTTAAACCGGGTTTATATTAAGGTATCGTGTGATAAGTTGCACCATACTATTGACTGGTAACATCGACAACGTTAGTCGAAAAATAGGTTATGACGTTTGGCACCCGTAGACCTGCCGGTCCCACTGTAGCTAACAGAAAGGTGTAGGATAGTCAATCCAGTATAGATCTATACGCAAACTCAACGCTCTCCCTCCAAGAGACTCTGGCTACAACCCGGGTCATGACAATTAAGACATGAACCCATACAGTGGATCACAATTGTTAAAGTATTCGTGTGTATGTAATATAATATTACTTGTTCTAGTATCGTTGTATATGTTCTCTTAGTAATGAATATTGACTCATGAATGAACTGACTCGATGATCTAGAAATCGTAGTAGTATGATCCCGTGTTACCCCGATGGTAACTTACTAATGATGTGTTTGATAAGCATGTATATGGAAATACCTTTATGTCTATACACGTATATACGACATATAACTAATATTGAAACGACCCTCGGATAGTCACCCGAAATTCCACCAGACCACATCCAAATCGAGGAAAAGGAAATAGGATAGGTGGCTTTCCTAAGCCCTTTAAACATTATTTATACAGCTATACATATATAGGCATGCAAATTTATAAGTAGTAAAACAAAGTTTTCAATAAAATTTGATAAGTAAAAGAGTTTGTAAAACATTTTGAAGTAAAACAGTTTGAACAGTGATAAAATCATTGGTTTCTTAGTTATTAATCACATGTGATTAATGCCGTCACATGTGACCGAAACAATAACTATAAGTGTTTAACTTGTATCCCCCCCCCATAAAGCATTTAAAAGTATTTAGAATAATTAAAACAGTTGATTAAGGGGTATGAAACTCACTTGGAAATTCGAAGATAGCGAGCTCGAAAACCGGGCAGAGTTTCGTCTCGCGAAACGGATTTTTCTCGGGATTCTCGGGAATCTCGGGAGTAAAATCGACCCTCGGGACTTGAGCAAAAAGACCAGAGCTTCGGGTTTGAACGGGCACGGAAATCGAGGCAAGATCGGAGAGAAAGAGAGGAAATGAACAACATTTTCGGAAAGGCTCGCATCCCTTTTATAGGGTTGCTGAACCGCCTCCGAACGCGGGGCGTACGGGAGTACGCAGCGCGTACCCGTGCGTCATCGCTTACGCACTTCGGACGGGACGGGTCGGATGGGGCGGGTCGGATGGGACGGGTCGGTAGCTTCGCATAGGGCGACGTGGACGATCCGAGACCCTTCATTCGAGTACGCGGGGCGTTCGAGCGTACGCGGCGTACCTCGGCCCTAGGCTGACTCCTCCCTCGGATAATACCGAATTTTTAATAAAATTTATATTTAAATTATTTATCAAACTTCAAAAATTCATATCTCTTTCATACGAACTCCGTTTTCGACGTTCTTTATATCCCCGTGAAGGTGAGACTACGATCTACAACTTTCGTTTAGATTCCGTTGGCAAATTCCGAAATTATTTTTATTATTGTTTTTATTATTTAATATCAATCCATCGTGTTTAAGGAATTTCTTTGAAAATTCATAACTTCGCTATCTGAAGTCGGATTTGGGCGATCTTTTTACGTACGATCATGGTTCAAAGACATTAAATCATAGAAAGAAATTAAGTAGAACTTATTTATACATTTTATTACTCATAAGTGGTTACAATACTTGACCTATTAGGTCATTACAAGAGTTGAAATATCGGGTTGTCACAATGTTGTTGAAATAAGAAGAGTCAGTCCCGTTGCCATCACTCATTGTTTTCCATAGCAAGTTCACACCTCGCCTGATAAACAAAGCCAATAACTGAGTTGCAGATGGAAACAATACGATCTGTGCCGGAATAAACTGATTATTGAGCCATAGAGAGATGTCGTCGAGGTTGCCATCCCGGATTGGCGATTGATCGGCGTTGTGGAGGATGAGTCGAGGTCCAGTAAGAGTTGAAGAAACTGACGTTGGTGGTGGGGCTACCCGTATTTCTACTGTCGATATATTCATATGTGGGCTTTGTTTTTCCTCTAATTTAATTGTCCCGTTCTGGTCCAGATCATGCAGGCCCAACACTTTTGTTTCCGCAGTAACACTTTTCCTAAGCCCACTTTTGAAGTGACCTAGGGTTACAAGCTCTGATGTGTACTTTAACGGAGCCGTCAACTTAAGGAGACAACGTTGGTATTCCGTTACCTAGAAGAATGCGCCATCTGCTTCCGAAGACAACTCCAAACCGGTTCTTCCTGGTTTGAAATCAAATTCATCCTTCCCCCCTTCGTTTCAATTTTTGGCGGTAACAGTAGTGATAACGGTGGTGGTTTGCTCTTTGGGTTCATCGCCTGCTCCATTGCTTCTTTCGATTCTTTCTGGTTCAACGTTAATCCAATCGTTCCTTCACCATTTGATTGACATTCCAAAAATGGTGGTGGAGCCGGTGGCGGTGACAACAGCGTCTGGGGAGGGCATGGATGAATTTGCGACGGTGAGGTTGGCAGAAGCAGTGGTGGTGGAGACGTCAATGGCAGCGGCGGAGGTCTGTAACCATCGAACAAGGCGATCTCCCGCTTCCTAACTTCCCGATTTGAGCTTCTTATGTTCAAGATCTTACTATTGCTCCTGTTCTTGCCTCCTAGAGGCGGTGGTGTTACTAGAGATGGCAGTGGCGACGACGGTGGTGTCAGCAGTAGTGTGAAATTTGACAGCAGCGGCAGTGGAGGATAGGGCGGCGGAGGCGGCAATGGTGGTCTGTGATCGTCGAACAAAGGCATTTCCAGCTTCCTGACACTCTGATTAGGGCTTTCCATGAACAGCATCGTAGCCTCGTTTCTCTTTTCGAACCCTAGAGCTGGTGTAAACAGCGATGGTGAAGGTGGTGGAGAAAGTTGTGGAGCCGACAGCAGTGGTGGAAGCTGAGGTTCCATCACAGGTTCCGATTTCCACTCATTAACTTCATCATCTGATTCCAACTCAGCAACTTCCAATGATTCCTCTTCCTCCTCTTCATGGACTACTTTCTCCTTCTCCTTCAAGGTTGAGTAATAAATTTGTCTCCATTTAGCCTTCTCAGCCTCCATTCCTTCCTCTGAGTAGTAATATTTTTTCATTTTTGCTATTTTAGCTTCTGTCTCTTCTCTCTTTATCTGGTTCTGACGATGCATCTCCATCAGTTTCTTAATCTCTAGCAAATCTGTTTTGATTATCCTCATTGCTGTTATTTCCTCCCCAGCATCAACAGTTTTGATACCATTTGATAGATCCTTGTTAAATCTATCATATACCCCAGGCATTCTAACAGATTCACAGGAACAAAACCACTCAATAATACCAGTAAATTAAAGATAGATTTCCATTCATTCGAGAGAAATGGTCTCTCCAAGAAGAACAAAGTTCTTTACAGATTAATTCTCAGCTGCCTACTTCCTAGAACATAAGGACTATATATACTATCACTAAAGACTAGAGACAAAAGGAATAACAACCTAATCAGGTGCTGTTCCCACTAACAAAACAGCCAATAACAATCATAATACCAAAAAGACCATTCTACCCCTAAAGCCCAATAGATAACAGAATGATTCTAATAAAGCAAATCAAATAAAAGCACTCTAGGATTAGTTGGGGATTATCATATACCACAAGGAAAATCACCACACATGTAAGTATATTCTTGCTTGGTTTAGTCTCAAATACCTAAAAGATTATGTAAAAAATATTTAGCAGGTGATTATGCAAATTTATATTACATTCATATGAATAGAATAATTTTTAATATTGCGATAATTATTGTCTTGATTTTATCCATGGTCCCATGGTCACAAAATAGGTCCATAAATGCATGTAAGATAAGAGAGTTCTGATGTGGCTGCAAAAAGAGTAGAACCCACAAAAAATAACTAGAAAAAAAAAATAAAAAAATAAAAAAACTAATTTGAATAGATAGCATAATATATAGAAACTCACCAACAGGGTAATGACAATGCTGATAACATCGAATGAGTGGAAAAGCTTGTTCTCTGAATGCCACAATCTTTGGGCAATTCGGAAAGATACCATCTTTCCAAAATACTAATAATATTAGTAATATAAAAAATACAGACTCTTTTTTTTAAATGAAAAAATAAAATAAAATACCTCAATTGCTATCCCTTTATTTAAGGGCAGGGTCAGTTGTGTAAAGACATTTCCCCTATAGTCATGATTCCCCAACACTCCAAAAAAAAAAAAAAAAAAAAAAAAAAAAAACATTATATATTTATATTATACAATAGTTTTATCTTTTTACTATTTTCTCTATTTAGTTTCATAGCAAATGAAATTACCTGAATACCAAGTTGTAGATCAGGCATGCTACTATAGTCATTTAAAAATGTAGTCAGGCGGTAGAGCGATGGGAGGCAGTTATCGACAAAGCAATGTATCGATTGACGGATGATTTACAGAATTGGAAGGAGAAGGGTAATTATTGCCCTTCACATTTTGTCCATAGGTAAAAGAAATGATAATGGAGTACATATAGAGGGGACAAATGGTTAGGATTGTTACCTTACCATCTATGTTTGTTCCTACCTTGTTTCTTGTCGTCTAATACTAATAATATAATATTAATACCCATATAAGTGCATTTTCAACAGGTTAGATACTTGCTTATACCAGTAGAAAGAAATAAGTTGCTTTGGTTGCTATTGTGGGTAAAAAGTAATGTATATTGCCTAGCTTGGTAAAAATGGTGAAGTTCACTGATATGATACTTATCTGATGCAACTTGAGTAAAAGGGTACTCCTATGCTATGACAAAAACCTTCATAGTAAAAACTGTGAGAATTAGCATCGTGCATGAAAAATTGAATTAAAACAAAACTTTGTATAGGATTTCAAGGGACATCACTTATTTATAGGATGAGCTAAATAAAACAAATAAAGACATATATAATATAAGTAAACAAACTCGCAAAAAAAATAAATAAATAAAGGGTTCTAGCTAGCTATAATACAACTTTAAATAAATATATATTATAAACTAAAATGGGAAATGAGAAATCTTTTACCAAAAATGCGTTTTTATCCACATCTCATGATAGCCATTCGATACATCAACTGTAATCCGTCTCTAGAAAAATAGAACATTGGAATCAGTGATTCTTGAGGTGATTGGCAAGAAGTAAAGAGTATTAGAGTAATAGTATGTACCTCAATTCTGGAAGGAGAATGCATCCAATCACTATTCTGTCTACATATGAGATTCTAGCTATGCAGTCACTTTGTTAAAAAGGATGTTACATTTTGTATAAAAAAATTAATATAAAATAATAAAATGTACTTGTCAACTGTTTGCATGATGAAATAAAAAAATAAGTAGATAATTAAAAAAAATATTATAAAAATCTTTCATTGTTAGAGGGTTGATAGTTGCTATGAATCATATTGGAATTGGATCCTACACAGTACAGATCAATTATGCTTGAAGTTAATTGGTACTGGTCATATCAGATACCTTAAATGGTATGACATTTGTACATGGTGTTAATTGAGATGCAACATGATGGGTATTGTGTGAGTAATTCAAGAATCTGATTTAAGCATTTTATCAGACAGATGGTGTGCAACATTAAACTGACTTTGAAATCTCAAAACCAACTGGGTGCGTATAACTGAATTGTATTCCTGTTATACGATGAGTCATCTTCCTCACATAACCTGAAAATAGAAACTAAAAAGAATTTAGATTTCAAGATATAGTGAAATTGGTAAGCAATTGTAGATATTTCTGCAAAAATGGGTAATCTTTCTCTTCCTGACAAAGAACATTTGATAGGTTTTGGTTTCATAAGTGGTTGCCTAAAAGAAATTACACGTTCGGGTTTTGAAAGCAGAATTGCATCAGACCTTATTCAGAATTGTATCAAACCTTCAAATAACAATAAAAATGTAAGAACCAAGCACCAATTTGAAAGATAATCACCTGATTCAAAATCCTCAGAGGGTTGATTTTAAGAACTAAATAGGGTAATAACGAAGTCGATGATGGTGGTGAGAAGTTGGGTGCGTATTTCCTCCGATTTCTCACACATGCTCGCAAATTGTTGGAACATAAGGCGTTGTCAAGATGAAAGCTCTCAAGAGTGAAGCCTCAGGGTAGAACACCGTCGCTGCACCCTTCGGAGATTAGCACCGTCGCTGCTGAGCGCCACCAATTGTGCAGTTAGCGTTTTGGTTCTGTAATCGACAAACGGAGACACTAGAAAGCGTAAGATTTGTTAGACACACTGAATCGAACTGTAGAACCCTTAGAAAATTAAAACCCAGTCTCGAACTCTTTGTAATTTCAACGTACCCTCCCCAAAATTAAAAAGCTTCAATCGAACATTGTAGAAATACCCAGAAACAAAAGCGGTGGAGAAAGTCGATGATTTTGAAGGGTTTTAGCCGAAGCTGAAGAGGGGGAGGAAGGGGTGTTATGGATAGGAAAAAAAAAATTCTTATTTATTCCCACAATAAGTTCATTTGAGTGTTTAGATAAAATCTGTTTAATAAGCATCCATCTCCATGCTTATTGCTTATTGCTTATTGCTTATTCCCATCAAAAATAAACAATAAGCAATAAGTTAAAAAAACTAATCTAAACACCCCCTCAATACCTAAAGCCGACTTTATGAGAAAAAAGGGTTAGTGTAGTTGGTCGGTGGTTAAGCGATGGTAACGACCATCGAAGTAGCAAAGAGATGCAAAGGAAGTTTTCAGTCGCTGGAGAGATGAGGCGGTGGCTGAAGATCTATTTGGATGAAAACTAATGTTTTGAAATGTCACACCCACGAACCAGACGACGGAAACGTCTGAGTGTGATTTTAATTGAATATCATCACAATGAATATACATGAATCATAACATAAACGTCACCATGCATCAATATATTACAACTGGAATTGTTCACATCAAGTACATTGTTTAAACATTACACATTCATAGCATAAATTGTTTGAATGCTTGTAACAACATAACATCTAACATTACTTCATATTACTCTTCCGCTTACCTGTTACCTGAGAATACAAGTTATTTTGGAAAAATGTCAACATATGAAATGTTGGTGAGTTCATAAGCAATGTTGTGATAAAATGATTTGTGTGGTTTGTAAAACCCAGAAAATCCGATATTTTCTAAAAAGACTTTTGTTTATCAAAGTATGAAGATCCATAAGTTGATGCATGAATGATTTCAAAACATATATATATATATATATATATATATATATATATATATATATATATATATAAGGGTAATTTTGTATTATAGTTATTAAATTTCGAACGACTAGTATTGAATTCCCCGGAAAACCCGATATTTTCCGATCGTTGAAATGTATTCGTGATTACTGATTTTTGTATTATCTTAACGAATGAGTATTGATTAATCCACATTGTATATCGTCCTAATTTTGTCTACTTTGATTTCCCGTAAGCCTTAACAAACGAAGGGAAGGGGAGTATTAAGTCCCACTACTATCGTAAGTACCTTAGGCTGTCGTGGATGCGAAAGACACGATGGTTCAACTCGCATGTGATTACTGTGACCTTACTAGCTTTTCTAACGGGACACTTTAGCCCACTAGCACACAAAAGCTATTGAAAGTCCTTTTATAAAATATTGGGTCATTGAAGGCCCAATAACATATAAGTGTTATCCCTTTGGGCCCAAAGATCATGTCAGTGGGCTTGCAAGGCCCAACAACCATGATTTGAAACTCATAAGCCCAAAGTTTGTAGATTTACTCATTGTAGTCGTCACGTATCTATTGAAGAGTTTTGATTTAACGATTGTTGTTTTATATTGATTCGAGACCGAATCAATTCGTTTATAACGATATTTGGTATTGAAGTGTATTCGTTTTTCCGTTTTATCGCTAGTCAGGTATCTGGTACTTTGTCTTAATGAATCAATTTGTTTAAAAGTATGGTTTTTGACCTTTTCACTACCTTTCTTTTATAGAAATACCGCTTTTAGTCCTTTAAATAAAAGAATTTCATTTTTAGTGCTTAAAACATTTTCTTGACACTTTTGTATCATAAACTTGTAGAAAAGACAGTTTTAACCCAAAATATATTTTGTTAACAGCTTCAGCCCTTCCAAAATGGTGTTTCTCGGTTAGAACCTCATTTTTCGCAACTTTTATAGTTTGGCCCAAAATCTAAAAACTTTACATTTTTGGTCCTTTTTGATAGTGAAAAACATTTTTGACCTTTAAGATAGTTTTGTTATGCTAATTATCCCCTGTTTTACAGAAAATTTCCTTTCTGCCCCTTAAATTTGTCATTTTTCTCAACTTGAGGCTTATTGGGCCAAAAAGCCCAAAGTTAGCCCATTAAGCTAAAAATTTACAGTTTAGGTCCTTTGAAAATTTTATTATTCAGAAAAACAATTATGAAATCTGTTTCGACTCTCTTGGTCCTTAAGAAACCGTGACTTGGCCATTTTTAACCCTAGTTTTGTATACTTGACATTTTAAGCCCAAAAATGGGTTTATATGTTGAAATATGTTTATCATAACCTTATAAATTGTTATTCTTGACTTGATTAGTGTAGAATAACTTAGATTATATTTGTTTCTCTCCTCATACCATAGATCTCAAGATTTACCCCTTTTTAATTACCTATTTATCACAAAAACACATAAATATACACATACATGCATAAAATCACACGTAGCATACATATACACATAGATCTACACATTTTCTTGTATTCTCCCCCATAAAACATATGAAAACCGAAAAGAGAGGGGTATGAATCTCACCTTGAGTTGTAGTTTTGGTTTTTAAAGGAAAAGATGAAGAAATTTCGATCCTAGCAAGTCTTCTAGGAGGATCTTGAACTTAGATGCTTCTTAGGTGTAAGATCACAAGATTGAATGGATTTAGATGAGATTTTTGGATGAAATGAAGTAGCTAGATCATGGATTTAACATCAACTTACCTTAGATGATGTGTTTGTGGGAAAAATCTTCTTGAAAGCTTCCTAGATCTCGAAAATTTGGAAAGGAGTGGAGAGTGTTTCTTTGAGAGAGTTTGAGTGAAGTGTATGTGTGTGTGTGTGTTTGGGTTCGGCCGAGAGGAAGAAAGAGAGAAAAAGAGAGATGAGTGAAAGGATGGTTGCTTGGAGATATGAGAGTTGCATGGAAAACCTTTATGTAAAAATGAGGTGGCACACACACAAAGTAAACTCTTCCTCTTTGTGGGCTTGGGCCGAGAATGGAGAGGGAAAAGGGAAGATTTTGGGCTTTTGCCCTTAAGCAAATATAATAGTTAAGTTATATGATGCTTGACCCAAATAAATCAAAGTGTAATTTTTATGACCTAATAGGGCTAAATTAATTTGGTTGTGACCCATTAAGGCCCAAAATATTATGTTTCATGTATATGGGTCCATTTTGGGCCCATTAGAGAGTTCTAGATTCAAGATGGATAATTTGGAAGTTTATTAGTCCATTAGTCCCAATAAGGAAATCCTAGTCCAAAATGGACTTAATTTGGGATTTCAAAGGCTTACAATTCTTTGTTGACCATTCGTAGTGTTAGAATGAAGTATTTGATGAAGTTTTGTTGTTATTGAATAAGCAGCATGCATGCTTTCATGTTATTGATTCATAGTTGTTACAAGTGTTGTAGTTATAAGGCACCAAAATTTCTAGTTGTGATATCATCCCCCCGTTAGAGGGAATTTCATCCCGAAATTCTTTTGAAAATTGGATTTGAGAATGCGAGAATAGATGAGGGTATTTCTGCTTCATTTGATCTTCGCGTTCCCATGTGAATTATGGTCCGCGTCTTGCGTTCCATTGAACTTTCACAATTAGAATGCAGCTCTGCTTGGTACGCTTTACCTCTCGGTCCATGACTTCAACCGGCTCCTCGATGAACAGAAGGTTCTCATTGATTTCGATTTCCTCTAATGGAATGACGAGAGTCTCGTCGGATAAGCACTTCTTCAAGTTGGAGATGTGGAACACAGGGTGTACACTACTGAGCTCGGCGGGTAGTTATAGTCTATAGGCCACTGTACCGATTCGGGCAAGAATCTCGAAAGGTCCAATGTATCGAGGGTTCAGCTTGCCCCGCTTCCCAAAACGAGTCACTCCTTTCCAAGGAAAGACTTTTAGTAACACCCTATCTCCGACTTCAAATTCCAAGGGCTTTCGTCGTTTATCGGCATAGCTCTTT